CGTCAAGCAAGATCTGACATGCTCCCAATGTGCTGGACGACCCGTAGACAACGGGCATGTATACATCAAACAGTTATTGATTAGGTTGTTTGGTTTATTTTCAACCGTTTTTTAGCTCCAGGACAATTCTCCAAAGCATCAAGCATTCACCAGTGAATTTGAATACCTGGTGTCTAGTCTGATGGAACCGTTCACGCGTGACTTATTTCGGTCAGAAGTGGAACCGCCGGCGTAAACGGACATTGAAGAAACACCTTACTTTTGGCCCGGGTTCGGTATTCACCTATTTTTACACCTGAGTGATACAGATAAAAGCCATTTGTCTCTAGTTCAAACACTCTTTAGCTTCCATTATCACATTGGACTAGGTCATCTGAGTAAGAATAAATAGAAAGCGCGGTAGGAAAATCAAAATCCGGATCAAAATGTCGGTGAACAGATGCGAACTTGTCTCCCCGGGAGCTGAAAACACCCCATACATCTTAGGACGCAGAGCACTAGAGACAAAATTGGCAGAATTTAAAGCAAATGATGAAGGTCATCATGGTTAATAACATACGCATATTTCATTAATGGTTTGCGTTAATTTGAGGAAAAATTAGACTATGGTGAAATTCCATTTCAATCAAGAGAGCTCCTTTACCATTTTTTATTTAATGTTGGTGCAGTAGGACTTGCACCTTGCTGGTCTAGACCAAACTAACTTGGGCCAAAGCTCCTTCTTTTGATGACGAGGTGAGGACTTAGCAAATCTGAATTAGAGATAGTAGAGTAAAATTTTGGGCATAGATTTATTACCGACGAGTAAAGCCTCGCATGTTTTCAATGACGATGCACAGTAAGATTATACTCCTAAAATGCTAATTAGCACTCACAATATGGTGCCTCTGTCCTTATCTGTGGCACCAAACGGTCGGAAGCATTGCATCAATACCCTCAAATAAAAGAGTGCTTTGGAACACCGGTTTTCACAGAAGTTTCTCAGAAAGGCAGAACAGTGAAGATTATGTTTTTATTAAAACTCTAAATGGTTGACTCATTCACATACACCAGGTATAGCTACTTTTTGAACAATTCGTCTAGTTTTCAGCTCTCGCAAATGATGGCTTGCTGGATTGTAGATAGAGCTACGTTCAATGAACACTTCTACAGGGATAAGTATCCTAATTTTGATGTATTTCTTTCTATTTTTGAAGGTTAACAAACAATACGGCGTGTAAACTATACACACATACATGGAGAAGAGCATTCAGTCATATACAAAAACCGTTTAACTGAAATGTATGCTATAAATAGAAAGTTAACTATTCAACTTTACCCTGAAGCATGCCCAGTGAATCCAATCTCTGGGTTGCACGCAATGGATAGATTCACAAGTAGTAAGTAGGTACAAACCATGTTCAAAAGCCATAATGTTGTCGTCATGCGTTAACGTATGTAGATCTACTGCATTGGGAGAGAATGTGGATCCCTATTGATAAAAATGAAGGTTTTCAAAACGAAGTGTTCCACATTTAAGGGTGGTAATCAACAGTCGTATGATCACTCAATGAAACCAATGAACACTGTTTGACTTAGACTTTGGAACATTGTTACAATTCTCAAGGTACAGCCAAACACATTTTCGAATCACAAGTGAGTCTGACATCTACCTGTTCAGTGATAGGAAGAACAAACAAATGACGATTAAGTGTCCAACTGAATTACTCGTTAACTACAGGAGGTCAAGTGTGGCGGTTGTTTTATTCGATTGCTGACAAAAATGAAAAACTGATTTGACACACTAAATGGCACGGATATTCTTGTCCCGAATTATTTATGACTGGTCTAAAAACTTGTAGAAAAGACGATCCTCAGGAGTATATATTTTCTGGCTTTAATAACGACAGTGTTAACCAGGGAACTATCAACGCTCAAATCATCGTTGACCCATTGATCACATTGTTGCCACACAACTGCGATCATCACCAACAACAGCAACAACGACAAGATCCCATGCTGATTGGATATAATGAAGCAGTGATTCACAACTGTTACTTGAAATTTTCATAAGCGATGATCAATTGTGAATTATTTTCGTGACTGTCACGGTTATATCGCTTTAATTGGCACATTTTACACTACAACTTCAACACAAGCTTCATTGTAAACCCAGGGTGGTCAATCCTTTCAATCGTTTGTTGCCGATGGGGAAAAAACCCAACTTGATCATTGAAATACATCTCAAATTTGCGATCTATGAACTCATTGTATGAAGGTGCCGGTTGTCAGAAGTTTTAATCAATCAATGTATTGATTATACCGGTCATGGAGGTGGGCAAAAGCAGCAGTACGAATCTAGCAAAAGTGATATCTAAAGTTCACAAGGATACGATACTTCGGATGGATTGAAAAAAATATATGTCATGCTTGGAATACAAGTACACACATGTACAAGAAGTATTATATTTGTGGTTCGTACCACAGGATGTTTTCAACGTATCTTCTCTTGATGATTACGGGGGAAAGTGGAACAAAATCCGGAAACGGTAACTGAATCTGAACCACAATTACCATGGTCTTCCATAACGAGAAGCTCACTTGGGTATGCATAACTCATAAATGGTATCTCACAAACGGGTTACATAACTTTGCAAAGACTAAAAGATGGATTTATTGCTTAACTTTGTCATGTCCCGCCACATGTTGATGGGCACGCACAACAGAACCTGAAAAGTTCGGTCTTATAGGTTAACGGGTTTTTCCAAAAAAGACGACCTGTAAAAATAGTGCTACACTTCACTGCCAAAAACGAACGGCTGTTCCAAGTATTCTATTATCTGTTGCTCTTGTTCGAGGAACAGTTTGAAGAAATTTATCCCATACCTGTATAGCAGGTTTGCCAATTTCCAAAAGTCAAATTAATCAGCTTCGTATATGTTCTGTTAAATCTCTCAATACTTTGATTACGAACCCATCTTTCCATTCACTAATACCCCCTCCCACCAAAGATCCGATTGAAGTTTGTGATTTTATCTCTCTAGGCGATAGGCCAGACACTTTAGCACGGCACACAAACATACAATAGACGCATAAAATGCTACACACACGTGCCATTCTCGATATTAGCCGTAAGGGCCTACTGACCCACTTAATAAAATCTCTAATCGCGCTACACGTGTGTTCAGGATTCAAGCAACCGAAACTGGAAACCAAATCATATTGCGCTGCTCTGTGTGATTGCGCGTGTGCGTTCGTGTGTTGTGTGTGGGTGTGGGGGTATTTAACCATGGGAATGAGAATACTATAGACACAATGTATGTGCACAGGTTTGAAAATCAGCATGTGTGCCAATGAAAACCATGGATATGCCACCCTTTCGTTTCCATCTATTCGCTGAATGCTAACGATTGCAATGTGCAATAGATGGACCATGATATCACCGGCGGTAGGTGGGTGGCCTAGGAAAGACGACTTCAAACGTCAGAACCTTGTGAGACCTGTGTGAGACAAGGTTTCGCCCACTTTACAGACTCTGGTGGATTAATTAATCCTCGCCGAACGTGACTGTTTCATCCATTCTATCATATCATCACAGCGAGATCAAGCCCATTGAATGGATCTTCGCAATCTCATCAGATCTACAACTGTGGTACGTTTTGAGATCGTATCTTGTTCCTGTATCCACATTGCACTGATGGTTAGCCGTCTAAATGCAGAACAATTACTGGCATAGCAAGTGTCTCTCATCACACACTACTACCACAGAGCAGAATTCGAGGAATGACCCACGTATTTCACACCGCCTTTGATTCACTTTCTGGAACAAAAATTCAGTTACAAGATGAAATATCAAGTCCCATGGGAGCGTGGAAAGTATTTGGTTAGAATCATGTGTGTAACTTTGGTGTTTTGACAGATAGAAGCGGACAACAGTCATATGTGATAGATATTGGCTCTCAGTAGTGACCGTCAACCGTATGGACCAGGGGTTACACTTTCGATTCCCAATCCACATATTCCTGCTTTTGGACCCGGACAAGAATGCTGAACATTACACAATAATTCCGTCAGATTTTAACGTGCTTCGCATGTGGGTAATGAAGGAACATGCCATATGTTGGATCCACACTTACAATACACTGAGACGATACAAAATACTTAAAGACTGTGAAGAAGGCAAATGGGTTCACTTAAACTTTGCATTCCATACAATATTGTATTTGCTGGTGGAGTGATCTCTGATGTGATCTTGTACCCCAGTTGGTATGGGGTGTGCTGGCAAAAGTGCCGGTGGGAGTCATTGTTGAATTCTAATTTATCTTTGTCGCATTAGGAAAAATTATTACAAGATGTTGAATTAATCACACATTCACGATTGTACGAATCCTGAGGACGACCAATATTTCGCGGCTCGATACACATTGGTAGGACAACATGTTACCATTGTGTAACTGAGGCAAGGGGGTTGGATTAAAACAGGTGAAATGGCTCGTGTGCACAAGGTCCAGTGTCACATTCGTCACACACGTGACCCTCGGTAGTTCAATTGCGACCACATGACAGTGCAAACTAAGGAGCGCACGAACAGAACTATGGCACGCGACCGATTAGTTTTAAGCTCCATGAAGTATCCCCCTTGTTTCATGGTAGACAACACTGGTCTACGGTGGGTTTTGCGAGATTCCTCATTTGAAATCAAGCTTAATATGAGGCCTCAATTAACAGGAGGTTGTTTCAAAAACAGTGCCTTTCACTTAAAAGTTCATTTGGCATCTTTCTGTTAGCAATGAATTCGATCGAGTAGCGTGTAAACGATGTTAAAATGTAAACCCTGGAATTTGATCAAATGTNNNNATGGTACAGGATGAAAAGCCTTATGCTCATGCAGTTTAAAGGGATATGGAGAGCAATAAAAGGCTCTTTGGAATCTTATACAACACTGAAATAAATTACTGCCCCAAAAATGATATACCGATCAGGTTCCAAAGAGTACAAACATGGGGGTTGAGCTTGTATAGTCACATCGCTGACAAATTCACTACCAAAACCAGATAGAAACCTACTTCTAGTCCAGCCTCTTCTTGTGTTTCATGATGGAACATGTTTGGCATGCGTGTGTTCGGGTAGTACATCCCTTTGCACAGAGCTAGAGTGACCGGTTCACAGCGATGCGTCTTTGAATCCAAATGCGTACCGAGTACTTCGTGAAAGGGGACCGGATTCCAGTGACTTGCATCCACAGCGTCACGGGCATTCTGAGCAGATGTTGATACAGGCTGTTGTACATGACGTAGGCTATTGGGTGCCCGACTGGCGTACTGTTCCGATGCAGTTACCAAAGCGGAATATCCGACACAGGCACGATTGACCACTGCCACAATGTACAGCCACAGGACCAGAATGCCACTTCGTCTAGGACTTGTTCTGGCTCGTTGATACATCGTGCGATTTGTCAAACTGTGCACAGGAATATCTGTGTTAGTGGGACAATTGGAAAAGAATTATATACTTTATGTTGTTATATCTTTTCAAGACTGAAACCTTTACATTGACAAATTAATTGACGGTACAAAATACAGTCTACCTTAACTTAGAATGTATCGGACGATTTCCTCGTTTTCATCACATAATCCATCGGTTTGGGGAAAGCCCAACGCGTTGCTAGAACCAGTCAGTGTACCAATACTCAAGAATACTTAGCTACCTGAATAACCATCTGTATGGCCGCGGACTGGGGATTCACATAGTAGTACGCAATGTCGCCGGTCTTAAAATAGTGGCAATCTTTGATTATGGCAACGAACAACACACATTCGGAAAGGAGGAAAATCTAGAATCTTATTAGCAATGCTTGTTATCGGCCCGGACAAGGGCAAAGTGGTTTATTAGTTACTCAGATGCATTTAGTAATGATCAGGTCGGTCGATACAAACAGATTAGTTCATACCTCACACAAATCGCATGGTCGAGGCACACTTATTTCTCTCGCTGCTTTGCGATCACTGCTTATGAACTTAGACCTTTATTGACGACGGGCCCAGTCAACGGGTATCAGGTTTTGCTACCTAGATCGCTCCCGCCCAAGTGAAAACTCCAGTGTGCGTGACAAGTCAAGCCCCGAAAATAGCCTGGTTGTGTCTGCTACGTGGTCAGAGCAGTTAGTGTCACTGATTTGTCGTTTTATAGTGCAAATGCAAGGACCAAATTTATGTAACCTCTTTTCGAGCTACTCTTATCAAACCAATAAACATCAAAACTAAAAGCCGAAAGTGAAGACTCAACAAGCACGGAGAACAATGTGTTCACTGATACTTGTTTGGTAAGTCAAGTGTGCCTCGTCTAGAGAGCGAGATAGTGGCGAGGATTAACATTACAGAAATGACCAAGAACAGTTCAATAATAGCAATGCTATTTAGTTGTGTGGGAGATCGACCCTCTGGAAGGATGTGGAGCGCAACAATGCCATTCGGAGTAAGGTACAAACCACTTGAACTGAAGGATTTAATGACGTAGTCGACCAGAGTGGATGGAAAAACCGGTGCACTTCAGGGAACGCATGCAACCGGAGGAAATTTTCCTTGAACCAGTAGATGAACATAGCCACTTCATGCTGAATGGGATAAGAAATAACGATAGTTCAGCAAAGAAAACCGATTTTCTCTTTATTTCCAATTGTACCTGATAACACCCCGTAGAAACATCCAACATTTTATCCTTTTTGGCACCAAGAATAAAATCACTCGTGAACGAAGGCTAGAAATCTTGTTTTAGTTTTTTTCTTGAACTTGTTTTTACCCATCTTTAACTATGTATCCATAATAATCTTACAGCGTTACAGTTACCGTTATATGCGTACAACGTGAACCAGTCAATCCATCAAACAAATTAATGCGTATATGATGTTTTTCCGTCATCGTCCTCATTGCTAACCTGCCATTTGACATATGACACTATCTAGATTCGGATTATGAGAAAACAATTGTGTGTATAAGTGTGTGTATCACGATCAAGCTT